AGCTTACACAATGTGCTCCAGATTCATCCAGTTGTTGCAAATGATGATTCGTTCATTTTTAAGGCTCAATAGTACTCCACTGTATTTATGTACCTCGTTTTCTTTATGTACTAATCTGTTGATGGAAATCAGCTGATTCTATATCGTGGCTATTGTGAATAGTGCTATAATGAACACAGAAGTGAAGAAATCTCTTCAATAAACTAATTCCATTTCCTTTGTATATATCCCTATTAGTGGGATTACTGGATCATAAGATAGTTATTTTTAATTTTTTTTGAGGAAATTCCATGTCATTTTCTAAAATGGCTATACTAGTCTACAATCTTACAAAAAGTTTATGAGGGTTTCCTTTTCTCCTTATCCTTTGCCAACACTTCCCTTTCACCTTTTTGATAACAGGTGTGAGGGAATAATTGTGGTTTTAATTTGCATTTACCTTATTAGTGACATTGAATTTTTTTAATATACTTGTTGGCCATTTGTATTTTCTGTTTTGATAATTGTCTGCTCAGACCATTTGCACATTTTATTTTGGATTTCTTATTTTATTGAAGTTAAGTTATTCAGGAGTCTTATATATCCTGGATATTCATCCTTTGTTATATGTCTAGTTGGCAAATATTTTCTTCCATTTTGTAGGTTGCTTATTCACTTTGCTGTTGCCTTTGCTTTTTAGTTTGTTATAATTCTGTTTGTGTATTTTTGCTTATGTTTTTGGGATCATATTGAAAACATTTACTGCCCAGACAAATGTCGTGGAGATTTTTCCATATGTGTTCTGCTACTTTTATAGTTTTAAGGGTTTTTTTTTTTTTTTTTTTTTTTTTTTTGCTTGTTTTTGTGTTTTGTTTTTGGATACCAGGGATTGAATTTAGGGGAACTCAATCACGGAGCCACATCCCCAGCCCTATTTTGTATTTTATTTAGAGACAGGGTCTCAAAAAGTTGCTTAGTGCCTCACTTTTGGCAAGGCTGGCTTTCAATTTGTGATCCACCTGTCTCGGCCTCCCAAGCCACCGAGATTACAGATGTGAGCTACCATGCCATGCATAGTTTTAGTATTTATGTTCAAATATTTAATCAATTTTGAGTTGATTTTGGTGTAGTGTTTGAGGTGAATATCTAATTTCATACTTCTCCATGTGGATATCCAGTTTTCCCAGCACTTGAAGGACTTTTAAAATTATTTTTTTGGTAGTTATAGATGGACAGCGTGCCTTTGTTTTATTTGCTTATATTTTGTATGTGGTGGTGAAGATCGAACTTAGTGCCTCACACATGCTAGGCAAGTGCTCTGCCACTGAGCCACCAGCCCCTTGAATGACTTTTACAATATATCATTTTTCTGTTGACATTTCTGTAGAAAATATTAATTGTATCTATATCTGCATTCTTTCCAGTTTTCCCCCATCCTTTAATAGTATTGACTAGGTCCCTACTGTTTTAACATAATCATCATTTTCTCATTTACTCATTTAGGACACATTTGTTTCATTATATTTTATAAAATTCTCAATCACTGTTATCTTGTGTATATATGTATAAAATCATATTCTTGCAGAAACCAATCTTGGTTCTAAATCTGGGTTTTGATTCTCTAGTCTCCTAAAACTTTTTTATGTGGTAGAAGGGAATTCTTCCTTTTTTCTCTGCATTATCTTTTGATGGACTTCTAAGATTTCTTCAAATTCAAAAGTAATTTTTTACTAGAGACAGTCCTGTGATACATCTCCTGAGAAAGGTTGCTGTGTTTTTTAGATTTCCTTCCACAACATCATCTTGTGATATCTTAAAGAACTTCTTCTTCCCTCATCTCTATTTCTACCATGCCTTAATTCTTTTATTTAACTAATTTGTGGATTTTGAAGATACAATACTTTCAGAGTTCTACTAATTATGTAGCTGGCTGGCACTTTGCTTTAGTCCAAAAGGAATGACAATAGTTATTAGTTCTTGGCTTCATATACTATGTTAACATAGGAAAGACTTTTTTGCTTCAAAATAATCTTTTTATTATGTTTGTTATGCTATCAGTGATGCAATATTAGATTTTCTCCCAGTTCTTAGTTTTCCTCCTTAGAGGCATTTACTCTAGAAGACATATTTTTGGTGTTTTCTTTGTCAAAATTCCAAAGATATATTGTCATATGTTCTCATGTTAAATGATAATCTAGATCTCTATTTTCGGGCTTCTAAATTCTAATTCAGAATTTAAGCTGTTTTGGATAATGAAGATTATCAACTTCTGTCACTTTTCTTTTTTCTTTCTTTCTTTTTATTTTTGAGTTTGCCTAGTCATTTTAAAGGTTCTTGCTCCAAAAGTTAATCTTTTCTTCCTTGGTTCACAGAACTCATATGTAATGATACTAAAATGTAATGGTTAATCACATGTGGCGGGTAGTTCACTTAAAAATGGTTACTGATTTTCAGTTTTTATGCCTCCTATTAAGTTAGGTTCAGGTTATTAATCAATCCCTGAGACAAACTGTGATCTCTTTCTATATCAGATTCCAGTCAGGACCCTCTTCCTATACCTGACATACACAGTCTAGCTATGGTATATCTATTTAAAAAATATACTTGAATATGCTTGTAACTGTAACAGAAGTTATCCAAACTTTTGGTCATAAAAGTGTTTAGAATATAGCAGGAGAAAATGGCATGAAACACTTGAGTATGAAATAAATATATTAAAAACATGGGGTGGGTGATGAGAGACTAGGGCAATCAATTAAGAATAAATAAATGGCAGATGGGGAAGGATCTTCTTAGAAAGTGAATCATTAGAGCAGGGGAAATATTTTATGTGTGTTCATAAACTGCCCAACTAGAGGAGTGAGTAAAGAAAGACTCTTATGTCATTTAAAATTTTACATATTATGAGAACATTTATAGAAATACGAATATATAACAAAATATTAACTGAAATACTTCTGGTTGTATTTTTTTTAATTTACATATTTTTATGCTTCACAATCTTGTACTGAAGATTCCTGGGTATGATTTTGTTTATCATGTTCAACAGAATTTAAACATGGGATTTGTTGTGATGAAGAATATAGGGAAGATTAGGAGGGGTAAAAGGAGTGGGGAAGGATCCTCTTTTTCCCTAGAATCTAAACAGAGGAGAGGTATGATTCACCATCTTATAGTGGAAAGAAGCTTTTGCTCTTTGTGTGGAACATGGCAGCAATCATTCTCTAGTTAGATCAACGACAGAACTGCAAGGTGAACTGTATTGGTGACTAACTCATTTTCCCTCACCTACAGCACCCTCTTTTCCCAAGATCAAGCAATTTTCTTGTGTAATGAACTGTATCTGCTATCAAGTGGCCTGGAATTAAGAGGTCCAAAGCATATTCCAAGTCCTTGTTTCCTATTTGGCATCATGATGTCCTTTGCTGCTGAAACACTGATCTGTGTTTTCCAAAGCTATAAAAAGGAGGAATGCAAAAATGAATAGAACTATAGAACAATTTTATATATAGGAGAAAGGCTTCAAAAAATTTAAATTATTCAGGGAAGAGTTTTCTAGCTAATAGGTTGTCAAATTCTTGCATCAAATGCTTTTGTCTGGTTGATAGCCTTTTGGTCAGCTTTGTAGCAATCAGAGGGGAGCAGATGGAAAAAGAACATGCTTTGAAACCAATATCAACATTCAAAAGTGGGTTTTAGTAGTTTGATTTATACCCATAACATACCCAAAGTCTAGAGAGAGTGAGTTCAAGGAAAAGACAAAAATATAAGTAAACTAGGTAATAAAGAAAAAAAGAGAAACATAGAATTCAAACTATACATTTTCTTAATTTACTAGGTCTTACATGGACATAGAAAATAAGAGAACTGAAATAAATTTACTTGATCAGCTCAAAATTCTAATTATATTTTCTCATAATGTCAGTGTTTTTAATTTTTTCTGTTAGTAGACAATATATTAATCACTTATTCTACTAACCCTTTCTGTTATAGTTGTTACACATTTAATGTTTTATATATTCATAAATTACCTTTTGGCGTTTACCGAAAATATCACCAGCTAGCTAATGAAAATATCTGCTGGGAGACTTTCCATATTTTATATGGAAAATGGACATTTATTAAAAGCTGCATATTTATTGGTGATTTTATAAATCAAAAGCACAGTATCAATGGGTAGATTCAGGAAATAAATGGAGCTACTAAAGAGAGAAGGTACTTATTCAATGACAGTAATTAATTCAGTGTGAAAATAACAAAATTCCACAAATATTTACAACATTAATATAAATTGTTAGTTGTAATACCAAAATATGTTGACTAAAGCTGATTGCAAATGTATACATTTTATGAACTATTTTAACTAGGAATGACTTTACCTTTAATTAAGAAGTGAAACAATGTAAGTCCCTAAACTTTATAACAAAATACAAAAAGTTCAAAGCTGGAAATAAAACAATTTGGCTCTTTGTGAGCATTTTTATGATCTATAAGAACACCTTATAAATTACTCTTAAAAGAAAAATGTGATTAAATTCAATTGCACTTGAGTAAAGCCTAGGTAGATAATTTCGGAGACAAAACTGGTTATAAACCCAAAGCCAGTCCTTTGCAAAAAGAGAAAGGAATGTTTTTAAAAACCAGATAAACGTGAATTTAACATAAAAGAGCCTGTCTAGGTCTTAAGAGCCAGAGTTGGAGTGATCATTGATTTAATCCAGTATGGAACTTATTACATATTTATACATGTTCTTGTTGCACTTGTGTTTTCCTATACCCCTCTTCTAAAATATCAGGGAATTCAAATGTTTTCAGTCTGTCTGAATAAGCTAGCAATTTTGGGAAATTTTAAATCATGGTCAAACTCATAAATCTTGAGTGACATCATGTTTGTGTAATCCTTTTAAAAAATAAGCGGACAATATGTTTAAAAAGACAAATATGGTCATTTCCATCTAGTAAGTATTTCCAATTTTGAGAGTATTCTCAGGAAATTATAAAAAATCAAATAAAAACAAATCTTTATTATAATAGTGTTTATTCTTTATAAAGCAAAAATAATGAAACTTTCAACAATATGAACCCTGGCTTAGTAAATTACACTTATCAACTTGAATGTTACAATCATGTAAAAAAGGACAAATATAAAGGTTATGTAGCTATGTAGGAAAATGGATGTAGGTTAAAGGAAATTACTAAATTATGTTGTTCTTATATGTATATGGAAAAACTGACTATTGTAACTACAAAAAAACCAGAATTTTTATTGACTAACACTTTCGATGTAGGATTTTTTTCTCTAAGCACTATGGAATGGTTATAGCAGGTATTTATCTGTCTCCTCACACTACCTTCATGCACAACAGTAGGCCTTCCAACAAAATGGAACAGAAACACAAAGAGCCAAAAAATGGAGAGGCACCACCTGTACATTTAGAGGTATTCATGATTCTTCATTTGGGAGACCTGACTTCATTCTTACTTTTGGATTCTATGAAAAAAAAATCACCAATATCTTTATGATAATTTCCTACTTTTTGCTTCTACAGTTCAAATAGGTATCTGCAAATCAAGAAACAACACTAAGGCAATTTTTATATTTCTTTCATAATCTTTACTTGCATTTTAAAAATGATCTGTATAAGAATAGCAAGTGCCACAGGCTAGCTAATTGCATTGCAAATAGTGTTATTTTTCCTAGGGTTGGAAGTGTACTTATTGTAGAGACAGTTCCTTAAATAATATAGCTAAGGTAAGCTAACATTTTTAGACAATATTCCAACTAATGCTAAGCAAAACATGTTAACATCATCTCTTTCTTTTGTTCTTTAGTTATACCTGTGCTTTAAATGACAATTTCAGGGATAAAGATTATCTTTTTTGCTTTGAAGAGAAAGACACTATATAAGAATTCTAGTGATTATGTCCTTTACATCTGACTTTAATCTTTGCCTAAGAATTTATTTATTTTTTGTTGTCTTTCATGTACTGTTTACCAAGTGCCAGATAACATATGGTATAGTCCGCAAACCCTATTCTATTTGCTCTTCACAAAATTTCTGTGCTGTAATGATTCATCAATGACAAGAAACCTTCCCTCTTTTCCATAATTATTAAGAATGTTTTGGACGGGCACTGCTTTCAGTAACAGAAACCCAAAGATAATTAGGAGAGGGGCCTGATGTAAACAAAACAAAAACTGCCTGCAGTCTGGCTGGGCACAAATAACTGAGAGGCCACTAGCCACTTGTAGGTTCAAACAGGAACTACTTTATTGCCCGAACCCCACGGGAACTCTCCATAACTCCAAGGAAACTCTGCGAGAACCAACGGGAACTCAAAAGTAGCGGGCGCCGGAGGTAGCAGGAACCGCCTTATTGCTGGACAGCAGAGGTTTATATACCAACTGAATACACAGCTTGTTTCACTTTAGCATCATCCAGTTACAGCAATCAGTCATTATCTTAATAATTATACACAGCTTAACTTAATTATTATCATCTTAATGGCTCACTGGCGTCACCTCCCAACCACTCCTTCTGGCAAAATGCCAGGCACCATCCTGATGTGGCAGTGGCTCTCAACAAAAGTCCACATATAGGGATAAATGCTATATCAGTGGCATGGACAAACTAAAGTATGGGGGAATTATTAGCTATGTGGGGCTTAATTCTATTGGATATGCACCCCAAAAGCACTATAGTTCCATCCTTAAGATTTGCATACTCTGTGACTTCTAGCTTTTAATTCTCTCACCCCCACCCCCATTAAAGCTTTAGGATTGAAAATAGGCATTGAATGAAGGAGTAACACCAACATACTATTTGGATTTCCATGAAATTAACCAATTTAAAATTTTTGACGATTAGAGGATCATAAAGTGCTGTACTCAAATGTGTTTGGAAAGTGAGGAACACCAGGAAATACGTACAATTTACACTTGAAAATAATTCTATATTGAACTTTATCTTAACTTACATGGAATCTTGTATGAGAAGTAAATAACTGCAAGCAAATTATTAAAAATATGAAGAAAAATTCAATACTGAAAATATCCTACTTACACTTTCCCTGTGAATTTAGAAAAGATTATAATTCATTTTTAGACTACCTGTCCTTCACATATATAAAATTTAAAAATTATGGGGCACAATGCTAAATGTTCTATAAAGAGTAATGACTAATTAGCATAGGGTTATAAGTTGTAAATGTATTAAAGATAAATCATAAAGTAAAAACGTATTTCTGAATCACAAAACTTAAAAATCTGTACACTGTAGTAGGCAGAACAGTGGCCCCCAAAGGTGTTCATGTCTTACTCACCCAACCCTGTGAATGTTAGGTTATATCACAAGGGGGAATTAAAATTGCAGATGGAATTAAGCTTGCTAATCAGTTGATCTTAAAATGGGAAGATGTCCTGATTATCTGGGTGGGTTCAACTGAATAGCAAAGTCCTTTTTATGTGGAAGAGGGAGGCAGTATAAAAGAAACAGTGAGTTGGCAATATGACTGCCAGATGTTGCTGGCTTTGAAGATGGAAGAAGATGCTAAAGAGCCAAGGAATGTGAGCAGCCTCTAGGAGCTGGAAAAGGCAAAGTAACATACTCTCCCTAGAGTTTTCTGAAGTAGACTCATCTTGCCAAAACCTTGATTTTAGTCTCATGAGACCCATTTTGTACTCTGACTTCTAGAATTACATTTGTTTTAATCCATTAAACTTGTGGTAATATTTTTACTTTAGCAGTAGGAAGCTAATACACATATCCACATTGAACAAGATAATTTTGGCTGTATATGTCAGAAAACCTAGGATAATTGTAGCTTAAATAAAAGTTTATTTCTCTCCATGTAAAAGTGGATGGAGGTAGAAATTCAAGGGTGATTTTGGTATTCCAGTGTCAAGGACTCAGCTCTTTCAGTCTTGTTGCTCTGCCTTCTGTAAGGATCTTGAGCCAGCAGGTCTAATTTCAACCAGCAGGAAGAAGGAAAGAATGGTGAATTATCTTCTTTTGAAGAACTTCCTCAATGTTGCACACACCATTTCCACTTTTACATCTCATGGTCAGATCTAATAGCACAGTAGCATCTAGTAGCAGAGAGGGAAATAGAGACATTATTTCAAGGAGCTATATAATAAAGAGTAGACAGTTCTATCATTAAAGAGTAGGAAAAAAATTGGGGACAACTAGGTATTGAAATTGTAGAATGAAGCTATAACCATAATACTATGGTATTGTGATTTTTTTTTCTCTCATTGTTTTAAGAACATAAAGCAAACCCGACCAGATTTTTGATCAATCAAGACAGAGGTCTTCATTCCACAAAGTTATTGAACGATTGCTATGTAATTGTATTTACTAGATTATGCATATACACATACATTAAAACATGCATATATACATGTTGAATGAATGATAGAAGACATCATACTCAAACTTCAAGGCTATAATTCATGGGAGTGGAATACTTGGCTGATATTAGCATTAAAAATACTTTTTAATGTCTGTTTGCCTGTTACTTAGGGCCCTGGCAGGAGACTGATGACTTATTCAAAGAGTAACAGAAGAAAATATAATGAAGAGACTATTTACAAAGGTATGGGCAGGTTTCAAGGGAAGGAATGATAAAGCATCCAATGAATACCATCCATAGACCTTAAAGCACAAATTGAAGAAGGAGTTTCTGGAACTTTGCAAGGTCTTTAGGCATGGGACAGAGGTGTCTGACAAAAGCTATGGGCCTGAGTAGAATGAAGCTATAACCACAATCAGGCAGGAAGAAGAGTGGAATATCCCAACTCTTTCTTCCTCTCTGTTTTCTGAACATTTGTCAATGCCTCCCAAATTGGTTGAAACCAAACAGAAACCAGAGGGCAAAGGACTTGGTTGATGTGGTCCACAGAAGTCAGCCACTCAAAGCATGGAATGAATTTTCTGAGTGGGTAACAAGCATCATATGAAAAAGCAAAGCACTTATAGAGCTGGGAACAATTTTAAAAATCTTTAACCTAAAAGAGAAAGGGAAAAGATCTGAACAGAGCTGTGTCAGACCTGGCACAAAGAAAGATTAAGAGAATGATCAAAAAGTAAACCAGTGGGAGGGGCACAATGGCTGGTCTAGTTATATAAGTAGGATAAAGAGAGTGAGCAAAAAAAAAAAAAAAAGAGGCATGAGATGAAAGAATGAGAAAGGTTTGACCAAGATTTTGAAGTTGTAGTATAACTGAACACACTGGGTATTTATCACCAATTTTGTTAACACATGGGTGGGACATATAAAGCCTGTCACTGCCTATAGGTTTATACACACACACACACACACACACTTTTTGTTTTCAGTCCAAGGGCTGAACAGCAGTTGTGATTATACCTGAGAATCTGTGGATTACAGAAAGCCAGGGCTGTAGGTCAAAGAAATAGCCATACTCTGTTCACAACCAGTCAGCAGCTAAAAGAAGTCAAGATGTCAGAGAAAAGAAATACATGGTAAAAAACAACAACAACAACAAAACAACAACAACAACAACAACAAAAAAAAAACAGTAGAAACCAGATACTGGCACTCTGATATCAAGTCAAAATACTTAAAATTAATTCGAATTCAAAATATTCATGCTGCTGTCTTATATATCTATAATTCTAACTATTAAAAAGGGATTCCATGTTCACAAATAATATCAATAATAAAAACTGTGTTTCATGGAGGCAGTTTTTTGAAAGCATCCTCTTTACTGTGATTTTATGGAAAAGATCAGTACTAATTTTACTTTTTTGGGATTTTCATTGACATCCTACATCTTTACCTAAAAATATTTATACTTAACATCTCATTATACTCAAAATAATCCTGAAAACTTGCTCCCCATATAGAAAGCCCCATCAACATTTCATTGACTTAAACACATTTGTCCTTTTTATTACCTCCTGGGAGGCTTTATTTGAAAAGCTGAAATGGGTCCTGAGGACAACTCTTGGTTCTATACCATCCTTGCTTGACTCTGTGACTGCAGAATTTGGTGAAACTGTAGCAATGAAATGATCATCGTTCTCTTTGGTACCACTGTGAATCAGATTCAGAGTCTTATTAGTTGAGCCATGGAATAAGTAGAAGATTGAACAGATCTCAAAGTATAGACTATACTTTGAGAGTTAGCATGTATTCTTTTCCCCATCAAAGCTCTAGGAAAATAAGCATTGAATGGAGGAGTAACACCAACAATGCTATCAGGATTTCCATGAAATTAACCAATTTTAAAATTCTGATGATTAAAGAATCATATATTGCTGTACTTAAATGTGTTTGGAAAGTGAGGTACATGAAAATCATACCTTTGATGTGGAACACCATGAAATATGTACAATTTTGAGTTGAAAATAATTTTATGTTGAACTTTATCTTAACTTATACATAAATCTTGTACACAATTTATTTGCAAACAACTACAAATATATTATGAAAAAAATATATAAAAAATCAATTCTAAAATATTTTACCCATTTATTCTTTCTCAGTAAATTTGGAAAAGATAATTCATTCTTAGAATACTTGTCCTTTAGCATATATAATCACAGTGCTTGGTGAAAGCAAGCTAACATTTCATTAATACATTACTGAATGAATGCTGTATGATGGCACTCTTATCAGTGCCCCCTACTCTCTTCAATTTAATCTAAGTCTTAATAAATTTCTCTATAAAGTGATTCTAAAGTTGTCAAATCTTCAATTCCATTTAAGAGATAAGCAACTATAATATATACATCAGGTTTAAAGCAGGACTTCATTTTTTAATTTACTTTGTATGCTTTCTCTTCAGTCTAGAGTTCATTGTTTTCAAGAATATTATATAAGGTATATAAGTCAAGTATTTAATTTATAAAATATAGTTAACACATACTTTTACAAAATTTATATTAGATTTGGCCTCTCAATATTTGTACATATGTAAAAAACAGGACTGAGTAGAATTAATCATTTAGGGAAAATGATTATGAAGAAACTTAAGAGCAATTAGACTGGATAAGACAGTAAATGGCTTTCACAGTCATGAATTCAACTGTTTCTAAGGATGGATTTGATAAGGGCAGATATTAATTTATTAAGTATCTACTAATGCCTAGGCCTTCTGTTAAATGCTGAGGATACAAAAATTAACAACAACAACAAAAACCTAATAAGTTACCTGATCACATAATATCTGGCCCAAATTAGTGACCTCTAAAGTAAGGAAGAAATTACTTTACCTCATTTTATTTGTCTCTTTATGATATTTAAGGTGAGGATGAACAATGAAAGAAATTTGGTAAGAAATTTCAAGTCAGAAGGCAAAAATGGCATGTATAATAAATAATTCCTAAGTTTAAGGGTAGATAAAATGTGCTTGAGCTAGAAATATATATATATATATATATATATATATATATATATATATATATAATTTTTTTTGATTTTCTGGTTGGAAATTAGGTTAGCAATTTTTAAAAAGTTTGGAGAAAATTTCTGGCAAAAGATAGTCTATGATCTGATTCAGAAGACAATTGAAGAATATCATACAGTCCTTAAAAAGAGAGGAAAAATTACAATTGGACCAAGCATTTTGATGTGCTTAAGTTTCCGACAATATGGTATTGAGGGAAATGAGAAATGCCTATACTTAAAATGATCATGAGGGACAATGATTCTAGTTTTGGCATTGGGAAAGAGTACAGATACATAACATATAGCAAAGAATATTTATAATCCCATTTCATGCACTGATTAATGCCAAAGCGAATGGGATATCTTTTAATTTATATTCATGATTAAACTGATTTTGAATTACCAGACTTTAGCTGTAAGGTTATTTCGGTTGAGATTTGAAGAGATTCATCAGTGGATCGTCTACATTTTCTGGTGAGGTGTGTTTAAATCGCAATTTTAATAAAAATTCCTGACATAGGCATGACAAAAATCGTAGGCACGAATCTACTATACTAGCACTGGTACGTGATTTACTAGATTATTTCTAACGGTCCCATATGTCCGGTTTCAGTTTGCTTGATATCTCTATTGATTGCTTTTACACTGTTAATCTATAACATCAGTTGGAATATAGCTCATTTATTCCATAAAGTTGTTCTCAGAAAATTCCTCATGTTAAAAGGGCAGGGAGCAGGGGGAGAAACCTCAGTCCCAATCCCACACTCTGAAGTCAACTTTTTCAGTATTTGTGGTGCTACATACGTGGTCTTTCAGAAATCCCTGAACTTGTTCAAAGTCAAGAACTTAAAATGAAATCAGCAATCTGTCTGCCTGGAGACATCTGGTTCTTGACTGACGGTCCTTACACAGCGAGGACCGCTCATTTAAGTAAGCCGTGGCCTGTTTGATACCTAAACTCTAAGTCACGACGCCTACGGCTCGGCGGTCTACCGGGAGAGGAAAGCGGGAGGGCGGGAGGAAGGCAGGGGCGGGGAGGCCAAGGTGACAGCAGGTGAGCGCCCGGCGGACGAGGAAGTGAGACTGGCGCCGCGCGGGGTTACTCATTCCGCTTTACTGCAAGCGGAACTTCTGCCTCTTTCGGTCCAGCTTAAGTTCGACCTAACTGAAGTCACTTCCCATCCTGGCTCTCTAGGGGGAAAACCGTGCGTCCGTGTGAGGGAAGGGACAGGACAGAGCGGGTCAGGTAGCCGCCCTCGTGACTCTGCGTGTCCTCGCCGTCAAGGGCCGAGTTCCCCAATCGCTCCTTCCCGGTTCCCCGAACCTGCCCTTCCCCAATCCTGGGAACTCCCTGGGGTTGCCCAGGGCTCGACCCTCTCCCGGCCCCGGAGTGCGGAGGGTGGACGAGTGAGGCGTGGGAGCAGAGCCCAACCTTCAGGAAGAGGGAGGGCCGACGGCCGCCCGGGATGCTCAGAGGGGCCGCTCTGAAGGCACCGGGTCCAGAGCAGCAGCAGCCAGACCCGTCGGCGTACTAGACAGCCGCGGCGGGTGTGGCCAGTCCAGAGGCAGAACGGCGCTGAGCCTCCAACTTCACCTTTCCCACTCGGACAGCCTGTCGTCCTCCTGACCACGTCCCCACAGTGTCCCAACGACCCAATCTCTCACCCAACCACACCTGAGGAAAACTTTTCCCTCTCCTCTCAATTCAAACTCCGCAGCGTCCTAGGATGCCGCAAACCGTCCTGTCCTTAGCAACAAGGTTCCGGCCGTAGAGCGAGCGCCTCTAGGTGTAAGGAAGGTGATGTCGTAAAGCCGCGAGTGTCGTAAACCAGGTGCGGTGGGGAGGGGGGAGGGGTGGAGGCGGAGGGGTGGGGGGGAAGGGGGAGGGAGGGAGGGGGAGGAGGTGACTCGAGCATTTAGACACAAGCGAGAGGATCATGGCGGATGGCCCCAGGTGTAAGCGCAGAAAGCAGGCGAACCCGCGGCGCAATAACGGTGAGTGGCGGAGGGGACCGGGGAGCAGCGGAGTCAGGGGGAGCCGGGCAGCCGGGGCGCCCCCGGGGATGAGGGGGGCGAGCCGGGTTGGGGGCGGCCGGGGCAGGGACGGGCAAAGTGGAGTGGGAAAGTAGAAAGTAGTGCTCTCTGCCCCCCTCCGCTGCCGCCACTGCCGGAGCCGCGCCGCGGCCGCTCGCTCTCCCTGAACCGTTATGTCTCTTACCTGGTCTCTCTCCGCCTAGCGGCTCCTGCCGCCCCTGCCGCCTCCCTGGACCGTTAGCCGCGGCGGCCGCTGCATCCCCGGCGCAGGGCGGCCGGCAGGGACGCGGCCGGCCACTTTTCTGGTCTCGGGTGGAGCGACTGTTGCTTCTTTTCGCACTTTTCCCCACTCTTTTCACCCCTCGGCGCCTCCCTCTCCCCCTCCTCTTCAGCCCTCTCTGCGTTCTGCTCCTCAGCGCCCAGGCCCCCGGGAGCCTAGGAACAAACTTGTGCCCGGCACTGACCGTGCAAAGTGGCTTTCGCGCGCCACGGCCACGGCGGGCGCTGGAGTCCGGGGCCCGCGGTTCTGGCAGGGCTGCGGGCGCGCGGCGGGCGGCGGCGACGGCGGCGGGACGGACGGCCGGGCTGCGTGTTGTCCGTGCGCGCGTGTGCGCGGGCGCCGGCGGTGCGCGCCGCGGGCGGACCCGGCTCGCCCGGCGGCGGTAAAGTTGTGACCAGCGCGCTCGCGGAACGGGGCTCCAGAGACGCGGGTCCCTGCACGCCCCTCCTCCCTCTGCACCCCCGGCCACTTTGCCCTCGGGCTCCCGATCTTGGGGCGCGGATCCGCGTGAGGGAGGTCCCCATTTTGTGCGGAGCTGGTGGGGCGGCACAGGGGGGGCAGGCAGGATCGGGTACCTACTTGCTGCTGCCAGGGAGCTCTGTGGATGGCGGCGAGCTCGGTGTTTGTAGAGTTATTACCTGGTTTTAAGACATCTGGAAGCACCACAGACAGATCCCCCTCCCCAAGTGGGACTCGCTCTGGGCGCCTGGATGGGGCTGTGTGCTTATGCCTCTCTTTTCTCTTTCGATTTTTGGGGAAGTTATTACCTGGGCCGGACGCACGGAGCGCTGAAGCCGGATAATGGAGCTTGGATGGCGCTCTGGGTCTCGGGTGGAAGAGGGTGGGGGAGGGGGGGACGGACCGACGGACGCTCGGGGCTGCTACTCGCGCCGCAGCTGCAGTGTTTATTGATTTGTGCTGATGTGCCAGGGAAACACACACCCCTCTGCCTGGCGTGGGAGTTTTTTTTTTTTTTTTTTTTTTTTAAAAGAGAGAGGCAGAAACAAGGAGATCCAGACCCGAACATGTGGTGGTTGCACGGTCGCCTTTTCCAGTTTGAAGAGACATTGTAAGTTGATTGTATTTCTGCTTCTCTGGGGGCGATTCCGTGCCTTCTCTCCCTTCTGCTCAGCGGTGAGATGTCTGCTGATATTGTCTGGACAGTTCCTGTGGCGAGAGGGGCGAGACTGGCCGGCCGGGGGCGGCGGGAGCGCGGCGAGAGGTGCCCCCGCCCGCGCCGGTACCTGTTTGTATAATAATGGGCGGCAACGGCCCTGCGCCGGCTGCGGCCGAGTCTATATAAGGAATTACGCGTGCATTTCGGACCCAGGATCTCATTTTGGCTCCTGCGTTATTTTTTCGACGAGTTTTTAAGAGTAGGGGAATAAATGCGTCCCTGATGGGATCAGTGTCGCGTCCAGAAATGAGGAAATACGTGTTTAAGTGAAAACTCTCGCGCGGTCCCCCGCCCACCCCCCGCGCCTGGGCTCTCTTTCTCCCTCCCCTCCGGGATGCGAAACGCGAGGTTTTGTAACCTTTCCTGGCAATTTTAGATTTTGTGTGGGATTTCCTGTCTAGAAACAGATAGGAAGGTTTTAGGCTGTTCCAAGATGTTTTCTTCCAATCGTAAACATATTTTTAACATATTTGAGGCGACATTAAAATCACCGCTTTCATGAATGATTTTAGGTTTTCAAATAAATACCTGCATTTTAAAGACGTTTGTTAGTTACCACCGAAAGGTATATGTGTATCCTCATTGTGGAGACATGACTTGTTATAGCAAGGAGCAGAGCATAGGCTATTGCAATTTTAATTTCCTGTTTTAGCGTCACATAGTGTGTGTTCTATATTGAGCTGTTGCGGCTGCTGCTGATGTGGCTTTATGAAAGGTAAGTTGGTTCGGAAAGGGCTGCTCGCTTTTTACCTTATTTAAAATGTTGATCGCCTGAGAAAGGGGCTTTTCTTGTTGCTGACGACATGTGTGTGACATGTGAGTCTGAACCACCCAGCGACTGTGCAGCTGCTGTAAACATGTTTACCTGAACAGGAAAGAATGGATTTTTCTCCTAGACATTCTGTGATATGAATATTATACTCGTAAGGCGTATCAACAGATGACTTAAAGGGGAATAAAGCTATCCTGAAAGGTACTTGAATTCAACAGGAAAAAGAGATTCTCGATCGCTGCAGCAAATGGCAACTTGTGCAGGTAGAAAAAAGATGGTGTTTAGTTTTCTCCTGCATGTATGTCAGCCCCCTCTTGTCTGCTGCTTTCATTCTCGAGGGAGGGATTTATTTACCACGCTTGCTGTCAGTGTTTTTCCTTTGTGTTTAATATTAGAAAAACAGATTTGGGGCTTTTTAGCACAAAAAGCCTTGTCTGCAGTATGCATTACTCTCAGAAAACAAAAGGTGTTTAAGAGCACTGTACAGGTATCTTCCATTTTCATCACTTTTGCTTCTATTCTTGCATTTCTTTTTGTTCTCATGCATTTTATCCATTGCTGATCATTATAGCCATGCTATTTGATTGAACCTCATATTTTGCAAATTAAAATGAAGTTACATGCCATTGTGTTGTGAAACCTCAGAATAGGTGCTGGTTAATATTCCTTAGCAACGCAGTCATCTTTAAGTTGCAGATGTGTTTTTGGACAGAATTGGCTGGAAAAAACTCTTAAATCTTTTTAATGAAATAATGGTATATACAGTGAGAGATAATCAGAGAGATATTTTATGTTGTTTATTGATACATAATATTTTTATTAATTTTGAAATAAGGTATGCAGATTTTACTACTAAGCCTTTAGTAAAACATTTTAATTTCCTTTCTGGAATATATCTGCAGAGTACAATATTAATGGGAGTTTCAAGTAATGTAGCTTGACAGGGATAAGCCAGTCGAGTAAGGTTTGGCTAAAGCATCAAGCATTGTGGGGTAACTTTATGGTAATGCCGTTAGTCATCTGTAAAGGAGTGACATTAGAATTGCTTGAATTGATTATTGCCATTTATAGTTTAATGCTCTGTTATAATTTTTAAAATCTGTCTTTTATAATTTTCCACATTTTACTCTCTTTGTGACATGGTTTTCTTATGTTTTTTTCCTTGAGAAATGTACTCTAGCTGCTAATGACCACATGCTGATTGATTCACCTTAGATGGAATAGCAGGTGCATATTTTTCTGTCATTAGCACCATTTCTTCTTGCTGTCTTTGGAAACCACCAGTAGAGGATGCTAACAAAAATGATTATGGATATAGTTGTGTCATAAGTCTGTCTTCTGTGCTCATTGGGATCTGCTGTATAATTCCGGATTTTATTGTTATTTAAAACTAGCTCAGGATAAATTAGAAGCATTTTCTTGTTTATGGAGACTAGAAAGAAGTAGGAATATTTTAACTTGAATAATCTTGTAAACTTGAGCTTTTAAAATCTTAAATTGAGGTTGATATTATTTTAGTCTTGCATTAAAGTAATCATGTTCCTTTTTAAAAAAGTTTTCATAGGCTTGGGGAAGAAAATGTAAAGTGGCTATTTACAGTGTATATTTACTATACTTCTTAATCTCTTTTGTTCATAGGTTTCCTAAAAAATTTTATTATTTTACGTATTAAAAGGTATAAATGTTTAAGTATGCTAAGGAAAACAATTGATAATACTGTATAATAATTTTTCCATAACTATGCAGGGTTAGAATATAGATTGGATGGCAGATAACTACAAAAGTTTGTTAACCAGTACTCTCAAATATTAGTGGTTTCAAAATTTTACCTTTTCTTTCCCTTTCAAATCCATTTCCTATTGATAGCCCTCCCCCATCCCATTTCCTTAGTTAAGAATTGCATCTTATATAAATTGTAAATTTACCAATTATGGATTAAGGATATAAGTTTTATTTAAGTGCAGAAAGTTGGTAGTTTATTAATTGTTCATGCTTGTATTCAAAGAATACTACTTTCAGCAAAGTATATAAATTAAAATTATTACTTATGCATATACATAATTGCATAGAACTTAATGTATTCAGTCATGTCTTTTTTTTGTGTGTCCCCAAGATTGTTAATATAACAGTAAACTTTAAGTTTTTCATTAGGAGTATTTATTTCCCTAATTATTTTTAATGGTGTTTCCATAAATGTTACTCACACCAGTACCACAATGCAGTAGTCTTGAATTAAACTAAAGCATTACCTGAATTGTCAGGTAAGCCTGCATGAACTTCTCATGGATATTGTGTGTTTGTGTGTGCGTGCGTGCACACACGTGTGCATGTATGTGTGTGCATGCATGTGTGGTTTTTCATTTCCTGTCAGGTAGTTCTTTAATTCTGTATTCTAATTCCTTAAGCCCAATAGTTGAATAGGTGTGGTTCACTTTTTGATGAATTGAGAACTTTACTATGGAATTATGATGTATGTAATTGAGCATGGAGCATAATTTAAAAGTATTTTATAAATAGAAAGCTTCAATTACTTCTTAAGACAATCCTGCCATAAAAGCATGGGAAATATTTAATGCTTCTTGTTTTGTTCCCTTCTTAGTCTCCAATATTTTTGAAATTCCATACCTTCGTATGTTTGCAGTTTTAGTAGCTTTGAAGCATGTGATGAGAAATTTGTATTAAATTATGGAGAGTATTTAAAAAATAATAGCATAATTATTTCTCATATTTGTGTTTTTATGCCTCCTTTTGCTTTCCTTTGTATAAATCACTTCTAAGTGTGTGAATAGAGCCAGATGTAAACACAGATGCAATATCATGGAATTATGTTGTTACTTACTTCTAACTACCTATGTTGAATTGCAAAACAGGAGAAAAGTCATACAGACGTTGGAAGAATGATATTCATTAGCTTGCAAAAGTGCAATGAGAGGTTACATGACTTGATGTAACTGTAGAAATAGTATTTAAGATTGAAAAAGATTTATCTTTGCAGCATGACTTAATTTATGGGAAATATATTTTGAATACAGATACAAGCTAAAATAAAAGTGCATTATTGAGAGAAAATTTGGAAAATTTTACATTAGAAAAGTGCCCTGATAAAGTGATTTAAAAAAATATCCTTTTAAATGATAATGATGTTCATATTACTAGCTGAATAACTATCATATAGGCTAAAAGTTGTATAGATTGTTATGTATATAGTAGAAAAGGTTTTGTTGTAACCCTTATTAAAATTTTGTATTTAAACTGCACTGTTGTACACAGAGGAGCAACCCAGTTGGCATAAACCAAAGTAAATGTATCTTGGCCACTGCAGCAGTTTTCAAAATGATATTATGAAATGATAATAAAAACATATCTTTAAAAACTTAAATGTGATTTTTAGGTATTGCTAAAGGAAATAATATTTTCTTTGGATGGGACAGTGTTTTGAATATTGTATTTTTAAAAGCAGCATTTTAGGATATTAGTTTTACCACATGAAAATTTCCAATATACAGCAAGCAAATCTGGATTTTAAACTTTATGATAGAGGTGGGTTATACTGTTTTTAACCTGAAATTGGGTTGCTGAAAAATATGGCAATATATTATTTAAATAACAAAATGTTCTTTAGTAAGTAAAATTTGCCTTAAGATTGTTTTCAGGAATAAAAATTGAAATTTAGAACTTCATTAATTTTGTTAAGACATACTTTGGAAGTATATCTTGTGTATGTAGATATATTGAAAACTTTTCAAAGTGCAAAAACAAAACAAAAGCCAGGTTCATATGTATGTTTTTATTAAAGCTCTGAAACTTTATTAAATTCTTAGTTTTTCATTCTCTAAGAAGTTATTTTTTTCTGATTTATTTCTTCAAACTGCTTCTGCTATTCAATACATATTCCCATATAGAGATTACAGTTATCTGTCTGCATATAGTCCTGTATCAGTCCTATATCAGTTAACAACATGAGAATACACTCTGAGAAGTGTGTGATTAGGAGATTTTATCACTGTGCAAATATCAGAGTGAACTTACACAAACTGACTGTGATATCTATCACTAAGCAATACAATGGGGGATCACCACTGTATGTGCAGTTTTTCATTGACCAAAACATTGTTATGCAGCACCTGACTGTACAGTAATCTTCTCTTAAAGGAGGTCATATTCCAAGATGTTCCAACAGTACCCCCAAATCTTGGATAGTACTGAAACCTATAATTATAGTGCTGTTTTTTCCCGTACATACATAGCTAGGATAAAATTTAACTTACCGTTTACGCACAGTAAGAGAATAACAGCAACTAATAATAAAATGGGGCAATTATAATACATGTTTTAGTAAAAGTTATTTAAAACGTTCAAATTGTGAAACAGCAGGTGAGGATTATTTCTCATCATGATTAGCATTTTATATTTATTGAGATTTGACACATGGAGTTTGAGTTATGAACTGTTCATAGAAGACCCTATGTTGTAGTAGCATGTAAAAATTATCTCTTTTTCAGTAACAACCACATCTGTGCAGAAATTATTGGTAACTGATATTTTATGATCTCTTAATTCCCTTTTTTCCTCTTCCCCATCCATATTTAAACTTAAAAATGAATGAACTATAAGTCTACAAGTTATGTAATTTCTCATTTCTCGTATTTATTTTTGTATTCTATATCAAAAATCGTGTTTTCCTTTTTTAAAGTTTCCTAATTTCAAATTTTTTGGATATTTTAAAATTACAATCAGAATATTTAAAATTTTGTAGTTCTTCACGTGTTTGTATTTATAAAAGTGTTGCTTTTCTCTTTATTTACTTATACATGGCATTGTTTGAAATCTGTTTGTGTTGATGAATGTATATCTTGCTTATTTTTTTCATATTTTTTTAGTTTTTGAACACAATACCTTTATTTTATTTATTTTTTATGTGGTGCTGAGGATCCAACCTAGTG